GTCCCACAGGACCACTGTCGGTCTCGCCGTCTCAGCTCGAGGCTCAAAAGGTTCTCCGCTTTGATGTCCCGGTGAAGCACCCGCTTGGAGTGCCTTCATTGATCGGATCAACCCGGAAGGGAGGTCGAACAAACAAATAAAGACTCCGTCCGGGACCTCGGACATGGAGCGGACCGAGAGGTCCTTCACAGCATCTGAAAGAAAGACTCTATAAGTGGTTTTGGTGTCTTTTTCGGTCTGGGTCTGGACCCCATCGTGCAGTTCTCACTTCCAGCCAAACTGGGCATTCCAAAGAAAATTAGTCAACTGGCCAGAAAGTGTTTAGGGGATGACATTCCCAAAACATCTGGTAGAAGTCCACCTCACCTTACACCTCCTACAAAAACCAATCCATCACCTCACACCTGCCCGAAGGATTAACCTCTTCCTTTGCGGCGACTTCTGCCAGGCTTTCTGTTGGGAGCTGGTTGTTGCGGGATGGTGCCAGGGGTTGCGATGTACTTTTCAATTGATCGGTGGCGGAGGAGAAGTTTCTGTCTAACACTGCTTCCGCATCACTAGCAGTTCGCAGTTCGCTGGCCCGACAGAGCCTTTGTCTGGGCTTGGGACTTGTAGAGATGTGAAACTAAACAGTGGGGGACTCCAGGAGATCCCAGTCAACGGATTCGGCCGTTTTGCAAGGGGTCCAAAGAATCAGCGGAATTGTGCTTCAAAAAGACCGGCTTCAGCGGCGAACGGGCGATGCTGTTTCGGTGGTTTTTCCGACTTGAGTGGCTCTTCATCGGATTCACCACCCGCATCCAGTGGAGAATATAGCAAACCAACACGCCGCATCCGGCACGTCCACATGCGTGGCTGAAATCGGCTGGCGGCCAGGGGGCATGTATTCCACCGCCGTCATGAGCTGCCAGAAGAGTTTTTGACTCTTGGACTCCGCGAAGCACCCGTTCTCCTCGGGCACCACCGGAGCCGAGGAAAGCTCCGCGCAGACGGTTCCGACTCGGAAGATCCCCAGACTGTTGTTGTGCAATGTATACAGACTCAGGGTGATCGAGGGTAACCGTTGCTTTTGGGGATGGGGGAGACACACCTTTCTATGTATTCCTTTTGGTTGTTTCAAACACAACATGGTTCTTGGGGCAGACGACGTACATTTCTGTAGTGCAGCACTTTTGGGACTTTTGATAGAATGGGGGAGATGACCATTGGCGACACTTCACCCAAAAGAAGCACAAGAAACAAACCGGCACAAAACGGCGCGCAAAACTGCACCGAAACGGCGCAATTTGTTTGCAAACCTTTTTGTTGCACTACTGATGGTCCAAAGTGGCAGGCAAACCCATGAAGCAGCAGTTTTTCTAGGAAACGACTCAAACTACATCAAGAATCAAGCGGCAGAAATTAGTTGAGTTTCACAAAACAACAACAACAATTTTACATACCCAGGTGTCTTAGGTATGAACCTCCTGATCTATCTGAGAAATCTATGTGTCTGTGGGCACCCAGTTGGTACCATGAGGCGAGACTCAGGGCATGATCACCCAAGGAGGCTAGTTTTCGAGGTGCGCTCAGTACCTCCCAAATTGATGCAGATTTAAACATCCCCATCTTCAGCCAGATAAATCGCCCTCCAATCACCCATTGATGAAGCTTCGGCTTAACTGCCAATGGACCAGCCTTTAATGGAGGAAACCTTTTTCTCCAAAGGCATTCTTACTACTAGTAACAAGGACGCTACGCACGGTGGAGGCCATCGCTACTAGTAGCTTTCGGATGCTACTACTCCAGGCGCGGTGTTGCAACGCTCGAGCCGTCGAGCTCTTCCAAGGCTCTGAGCTCTTCACAGCGACGTCCAAGGTGTGACCCTCGTGGTAACCTCTGCCGGATGGGCGCTTGGTGCTCGTGGGGAAGGGAGAGTCCCTTCTTGGCGGTCGTGGGGAAGAGCTTCTGAAAGGAACAACTTGGAAAGGACAAATTCACTTTTTGTTTTTCCTTCAGTTTACCTCTTCTGGGCATCTTCCATCTTTCGTAGTCACCATTGAATCAATGGATCTTGGAAATGAAGCACCACCCTTGCAGCCTCCAACTGTTAAAGGACGAGTCCTTCGAACGAAGAGACCACCAGCTGCAGAAATAGCTACCCAAATGTCACCCATCCAGTCCAGAGATTCGAACCAAAAGAAGGAATATCCTCTGGAAGGCAAAAAAGAAATAACACCAAAACATTACTTTCCTCAGCCCGGTTTTGTTTTATCTTCTTTTTTGTCCCCATATCCACTGCTGTACCTGCACCCAGGTGACTCAAACCTCCACGCAACGTCGCTTTTCCTTCCTTTCCTTTCCTTCGTTTGGGCCCAAGAAGCTCATCACGACGATGGCCATCCGCCCGACGGACAGGAAATCCAAGGCTTGGACCTGACGACGCGGAGACAGGGCGAGCGGAGCAGACGGAGCAGACGGAGCAGACGGAGGTCGGGTCCTTCAGGTCCACTGACTTGTCTGGTGTTGGGGGGTGTTCTCTGACCTGGTCATGGTACGGTACTCCACTTAGCTGGTTGGATGGAAAAACAGAGATCCAAGAGGCGAGATCTGGGCATTTCCTTTGCGGAGGAGATGGCTGGATCCTTTGGCCTTGCCTTTCACCGGTTCCAAGATCATCTGGTGTGTGGAAGGATCAAACACCCAGATGTCAGTTGAGCAGGTTTCAAGCTGAACACAAGCACCTTACAACGCATTCCCAATTTGTGCACCCTACGGCACTTGCGCCCAGAACCACTTCAACATAGAATCAAGTTGATGCCTTTGGTGGGACTTCAGAACACATGACAGCAGTTTCAATGCATGTATGCGTTATTTGCATTTAGTCACCGAGTTTGCCGACAGTTTGAAGGCACAACAACATCAATCCTACTTGCAACGAACTGCAACTCAAAAGAACCCTTGTGCTTCTCACAACTGCGACTCCCAACTCTTCTCCAACGCCATTCCGGGTGAACGGTCTCCACTCCATGTCCAGGGCACGATGTGCGGATGTTGCAACCGCCGCAAGACTTCATATTCCTCAATGGCCAAAACCGGTTTGCACGGATTCCAGAGGTTCCACATGATGTCACAGCTTCCACATCTGGTTAAAGGTGGAAAGGGGTCAAGAAACGCCTGGTTTGCGTTGGAAACTGGTCGATCTGGTTTCGAGTTATACGAACTGGAAACTCCTGTTTTGCACCGAACATCGACTCTTTTTGGATTGTGAGCTCGCCTTATATCCTGCAACTTGGGGGGTTCCAACGTGGATGGAGGTGCTGCTCAAAGGCTGTGTGCTGCGAGCGGGATTCTTCCGGTGATCGGACGACTATCTTCATTCGTTCTTGGCACCCCTCAAAACCGATTTGATGGATTTTGGACCAAAGGGTCGACAGGAACATAGCCAGGAATGCAATGGACCAATGGACCCAAGGTGGACTCCAAATGATCCAAACTCACGTTTTGGCGAAGCTCTTGCTTCCTGCACTGCAGCACTTCTTCATCCTTCGCCTCCAAACACTTCAACGCCACCTGACAGCACTGCGACAGCACAACCCACGGGCCAGAGCAAAACACAATCTGCACCCGACAAGTTCGCTTGTTGTTTTGAACCAGATTGTCTCCTTTTGATGATCAGTGGTGAGGAACTCAGATGAACTCACTAACTATAATGGCTGCATTGACTGCTACGCCACCTCGATTGGAACACCTTGGGCTCGTGTCAATCCACAATTGAGGCGGGTCACTCCATGTTCCACCCTCTGTTGGACCCCTGTGCACTTGGGACATTTGGGGTCATCTTTGGACACAGCCAACCAAAAAAACACACAAAACTCCCCCCCACAACCCTCCACTCCCCTCAAAACAGAAACCGACATCACCCCCCCAAAAAGGCCCACCAAACCAACCCTCACGTCACACCTACCGTACCGAGCGCCCGGCGCGCGGCCAACGGCGCCTGCTGTTGATCCAACTTCCGCAGGCCCCGGTGCACGCGCCCGGAGGAGCCCTCGCCGATCTGCTCCAGCAAGACATACCTTAACGGCCCACCGAGGCGGGTATGAGGCGGAAGAAAAGAGAGATGTGGTTGAAAAGGATGAAGATGAAGAGCTCAAAGAAGCTTTTGGAAGATGATTTGAGATCGGAGAGGCTTCTGGATTTGGATCACCTGATTGGAGAACCTCATGGCGAGCTCGAGGTTGATCATTCAAGGACCATGTAGCATATGAATGCATATGATTCATTGCTTTGAAATCAACTAATTCTGCAACAAATGAGCGGTGCACGCGCAACGCGTTTTTTTTGCACTCCATTACTCCACGCTAGAGTGGACCGCTGAGGCACAAAGGGCAAACTAACGGAAGATCAGTGGTGTGAAACAAACAATCTGAGGCTCCAAACTCGTTGACAATTCAAACCAAATTCGGATTTGTCTCTTTCGGATGGTGCGGATTCAGCACATATAAACACACAGCTCCAGCTCGGAACCTTGAACACGTGACGGAGTAGGGAGATGGGGCTCCTAATCAACGAATGCGGGGCGGACACAAAATGACGCAAGTGCCAATTACTCTCACGTCATCGGGCGTTAGCTGATCCCAAACCACAACACACACTCTTTGAGGCATCACTTTACAAGTTATCGCAAAACATGTGCTCGGCCACTGTAACCGGTAAGCCTTGCCCTAGAAGAAGCAGCAATCTTTCTGTCATCCAGTGTCGTCTGGTGTGCAATCACTGGGTGCGAGTGTCGCCAAAATCTGCCAATGTGAAGAACAACCAAGGTCTGGTTCGCAATTCGTGAGGCGAGCTTCGCTCAAAGAATAAGTTCATCTGCTTGCTAAATTCATATACTGAACTTGCTATTCGCCACAAAAACTATTGAATTGACTTGACAACCGACAAAGAGGCGAGGTTTTCTGAAGTGGAGAGCTTGGTTCCTGCAGCTCAAACGCTTCTAACATCACACCTGGCAGATTTCAGCGTTCATGCAAACAGACCGCGATTGCCTCTGCAATCTCAACTTCAGACTTGCCCATGCATTCGAGGCGAAGTCGATCTGGGCTAAAAACCCAATCCACAAAGCTCTGAGCATCCATGTGCTCATCGCGATGATCGGGCGATTGCGGCCCTCTACAAGGAGGACGTGGAGGATAGATCGCTGCCACCTTCAGCGGAACGATCTTGATAAACTCAGCATAGGTCTTGGCAAACTTCAGCTCCTCAAAGCTGGAGTATTGCGACGCCGTCATCTCGGCGTAGTGCTCGGTACACACGCAAAGCATGACGCCCCGTTCCCGCTTTAAGCGGCCCAGGTATCTGGTGGTCTCAATGCCAAAGCTCTGACCCTCTTTCACCGACACCATCAGAACCTCGTAGCCATTCCCAACCAAGATCTGGTGGATGGCGCGAAACTGCTTTTCAGTTTCGCCGCCATCAAATCTAGCGGAAAACATGCCTATCCGCGCGCCATCGGCTGATCTCCTCAGTCGCGGCACCTCACACAGATGTCAGAAACTGCACGAACGGCCGTGCTTTTGGGGCAAAGTGCTCAAACGAGAACTTTGCAGACTTGCGAATCATCACATTCTTCGAGATGACCCTTTTGACCTTGCTGATTCTGTGATAACTAATCAATTCTTTTTCCAGATCCGCAATCCGCAGATCCGAACACTTAGAACCTCTTGATCTGCGCTTCCGGCCTGTGCGCTTGAAGGCAAAGGCACTGGGCTTCCGATGGGAACAACAGCCGGGGCCGCGCCTCAACGCTTGGCAAAGAAGCTGGTTGGAACCAAAACTGTGGGCCTCCTGGGTTGGGTCTATCCTATCACCAGGTTTCAGTGGATGATGATGGTTAGGTTTGCAGGCCTTGTGCAAAAATAGTGATGTTCTTCTCTACAGGTCCTGTTACAGGTCTACTGGGACAAACCCAAGCTATGGAAGTTGTGAAAAAGCAGCTCCACTGAAACATTTTTCAGGCTCTCTTATACACTTGGCTCATTTCCCCGATTCATGTTTTTCAACATGTTGCATCTCTTCCTGTGCACTTTCTCCCATGAAAAGATTCCGCGCTCTTTTCCAGATGGGAAGATGTTGAAGATGACACATCCTCTCTTGATCGTCGCAGAGCAGAAGAGGGGGGAGCTTGGTGTTAGGCGTCGCACGCACGCCCGGTGCCGCACGGTGCCACGTGTACTTGGGCGTCGGACGGTTCCTTTGGCCAAAGAAGAGCCGCCCAACCTCGGCTCGAACCGGGATGAGCCGGAGGAATCCAAGCGGGATGAGGGTTGATCTGCAAGGCCCCAAGTTAGACTGATGTCAAACGTTAGATGGTGCAGCTCCTTCTTGCAGGCAAACACATCAAGCACCACTCCTTCCCTGGCCCTTTGGGCAAAAAAACAAGTGCAATTTTTTTGAAGGATCCATTTTTACTCATGGTTTGGGTTCAGGTAGGCATGGAGTGGGATGGAACCTGCACCTGTATGACACACAGGACCAAATCTGATTCCATGCCAGGTCACACGGGGTCTTGAGCTGCTCACAACCTGCGAAGTCTAGTGCCATGACTGGTGTCATTGAACAAAGTGAAGCCACACACCCAAGCTCTCTATGATTGAAAGCATTGAAACAATCAGATTAACATTACACAAACACAGCTTGGCTGCAGTTTTGATTGTTTAAGCAAACGAGAAAAAACTCAAAACCGATTGCATCTCTGCCTGGGTTTGAGAATCGTTTGGGGATCTGGAGCGGTCTTCGATCATGAGGCGAGTAGCTGGAGGCACATCCGGTGGCACTGGTGCGGCTGAGCTGTCCGGAGCGGGTGGATAAGGGCCAGCTGGGGGAGCTGCTGTGCTGGGAGTCACAGCAAGTGATGATGGTGCAGAAGCGGCCACTGGGCAGGTAGCACTGCTTGCACCGGACAAAGATGGGATTGGGATGTCAAGAAGTGCTGGTGCTGTGTCGGCAGCGGGTGGCAGTGTTGTTGACAGGGTGCCAGTGTGTGGCTGTGCTGATGATGTAAGCGGTGGGGCTTGTGGCGGAGTCGGAATGTTTGCGGAGGAGCTGCTTGGTTGCGCTAACAGTTCATGTGAGAGGATTGGGAAGAAACTGGAGCCTGAAGCAACTGCCGGTGCTCTGCGAGGCGGCTCTGGTGCAGTTTCGTTAGATGAGACATGGCTGGGGTGGGCCTGGTTGGGATGATTGAATGTGTACTGCTGGTTTTCGATGTCTACTATGAAGCTGGTGGGTTCTGCTTGCAGCACAGTCGATGGGATTGGAAGGGCGTGCGAGTCCAAGTTGACCCTTTCGAGGACAACTTGCTGTTGGGAGACCTCGACTGCCTGCCGATTGCCGACATGTGCCAAACCCGGACATTGCACATAGCCAAGCAAGTAGTCCGGATCACTCGAGTAATGCTCGTTGAGAACCGTATAGCAGTACGTACAGCCGATGTGACAGAAAGTCAGCTTGGCTCGGGGTGCAGGGCCTGGTTTCAAGAAGCCAATGGCTTTGATCGGCCCTGGAACACCAGTTGTTGCAACGAGGCAAAAGTGCTGCAGTTGCACCTCGATGTATCCGTCCTGGAAGGACACCGTGGTCACTTCGGTCCATCCTTCCTCGCTGGATTGCCATACTTTGCTGGCTCCAACGCAAGCTGGCATGATGAGCCAGATGGGCTCTTGGAAGGTGGTGTCATGGGGCGCCAAACGGAAGACGGGATGAAACACCGCCTCGTTCGGTTCCAGCTGCTTCTGCAGCGACGCCAGGTCCACAGATGTGAGGTCTCTCACGACCTCTGCGGTGGGTTTGACCCGTTGCTGGGTCACTTTGGTTGGTATGAAGAAGGTGATGCCACTGGGGGAGTGAACGACTTCGCCACATTCGGGGAGATCCTCCAAGGCAAGGCAAAGCATTGTAAAGCATACCAGGAAGGAAAGCCACAAAGAATCAAATCATCAAGACATCTCTCTCTCTCACTCTCTCTCTCACTCTCTCTCTCTCTCTTCAGTCTCCAAACATTTTGACCTATTGAGTGCCGATGACATCTTGACATGTTTCATATCCTTTCACCTTGTTCAAAAACCCTCAGCTCGGTCACAAACAGCAGCAGCTCAAACCTCCGTAAACTCTTCCGGTCGCGCCTCATGCTGGGTTGGAGGTGCCTTGGAACGGACCCTCCCAACGCTGTCGTCACTTGACGTTTTGGATCAAATACTGATGACCATAGCTACACCAGTTGTTTCGGGAATGGCAGTCATGACCATTCAACTGCCCTTGGATCAAGATCAAACAAGGAACATCAAAATCTTAGCTTGACTTCTACAAAACTATGCGGGACAGCTTAGTGCCATACGATAAAACACACGCAACTGCATATGACTGCTGTGAAAACAGGTCGCACGGAATCTTCGCTAGTAATTCGCGCCGCTTTCTGATGCTTTCTGCAAATTAAAGCACCATTCAGGGCCTCGGAAGCTGAGCGTTACACCGCTCCAGGCGCTGCAGTTTTGACATGGAGGAGGTCAACAAAGTCTCTGACGCCTGGGCTCTTGTAGTCAGATTCCTGTGACTTTTACATCTGATGCATGCGTATTCTCCCTTACCACCTGCCACGATACTTTAGTTTATATTGATGGCATCCCTTGAAGCTCCAAAGGGAGAGGTGTGCAGCCGTTGACAATCAAGAAAGTCAAGAAAGGCTTGTTGCCATGCTTTCTTTCTCCGAACCGAGAAGAACGTCCCTCTAACGCTTTTCATATTGCCTGCAATGAAGACTGTGTGATGTTTCAACAATGTTTCAAAAACAAGTTTAAGGCCCATCGCTGTCAGCATGTTCAGATTCTGCTCGCTCTGTGAAGAGCTCTCAAGAGAGCTGCGTATCCTATCCAAGGCACTGATCTCCTCATGCTCTTGAGCGTAATCCTCCGAAACTTGAGCTGTTGGGCTGGGATCGTCTTCGATCGAAAAACCGGAAGCAGTCCAAAGGGTCGAGGACGAACCATTCAAGCTTTGAAGCCTATTCATGCCTGAAGTCCAGCTCAGAGCTCGGACCATGTTGTGTACCTTAAAGCCTAAAAGTAGATCCTAGCGGCTGGAAAAGAGAAAACATTAAACACGTCGTGCCAGAATCCCGCTCTCCTTGAGCAAAGCCTTGGATTCTTGTGCTGTGAAGCCAACCATTGTCAAAATGGTGACACATCCTGAGACACGAGGGAACGATCGCAGGCTGTCCACAACTGTTCACAGCAAGGTTCTTCTGTCCTTCGGGGTTCATCCAGGTTCTTCCCAAACAAACGAGTGCACATGTGGCATGATCTTTGATCACCCGTGTCAGTGGAAAGCAGCCTGAGGGTACCATCGATGCAAAATCAGGTTTTTGCATTGGACGATCCTAACAAGATTCTCTCCTGGATGACCCTCCCGATGTTTGAGTCTGTTGAAACCTTTCAGTCTGTTTAGTGTAAACGTTTCCGTCTGAAATGTTGCGGAAATAGTTTCGATCGAAAGGCTCATTAGCAATCCTCCTTCCGACCGATGATTCGCCCGGTCTCAACAACTGGTGGCCGAGATGCTCTGCTGTGTCAGGAGTCCCTCTGGCCCAATGGTCGAAAGGAGTTCTTCTTCCACCTGACAACCCAGGAAGCTAGTTCCCACATGCCCATTTGTGCAAATGCAGAGTCTGAACGATATCGAGGAATCCAAACAGCAGCTCTTTTTGCAGAAGATAGGATAAAACACCAGGAAAAAGTGCATTGAAGTTTCAGAGTTTATCAACTTTCCAGGTTCATAAAGGATCGTCAACCACCAAGTTTCATCCAGTTCCGCCTGGAACAACTCCAAGGCTTAAGCGTAACAAACGTCAACGAATCACCCAACACAAGCAGGCTGGTGCCTTCTTCAGATTCTTTTCGGTGTCCTGGGCAATGGTCGACTTTGCACATGTTCAAGAAAAACACATCAAGAATGCAGCATTTGGAAAGTCATCAAGAGTTTTTGAACGTCGTGAACTTCAACCCCTCTGATGTGAACATCCCAGGAACGCTCCTTCATTGACTCACTCTGCACGGGCTGCTCACCAAAACCTGCTAGAGCCAGGGCATGTCTATAAGCAGTTTCCAAAAGCCCCCAACATTGTGTCTGCAAAATGAACTCATCAAACTTACAACATCAGCGCATCAAACTGCCTGAGCCAGCAGAATCGCCCAGCATTGCCTCGTCAGGTGCCTTATCTTGTGTTGGTAGTGCATCGATCGTGCTGTTTGTTGGTAGGGGGTAGCAGGATGCCACTGCCTTGTATTTTGGACTAGCACATGTTGCATCTGTTTAACCAAATCGTTAAACAAACCTGCAAGTTCCCACTCGTCACACACCCAAGCAAGAAAAAGTATCAATGCATTCCAAGTACCTTTTGCAGATCCTTGTCTTGGCCTACCTGCGCAGCAACCGCGTGCATAGCAAAAAGACCACAAACCGCAGGTGCTAAATGCCCTCAACGAGTTCCGACTCACCACACGTATTATCTCCAACTCTTCAAGACCTCAACAGTTTCCGGAGCCTTTTTTAGGTCCACAAATCGACGCATAGAAACATAGAATTCACGTGGATAAAAACGCCAGGCGTGACCGCATGACCGCGTGACCAATGGGCAAGTGCAAATGGCGCTGACCGCAGTCAAGCCACGATCTCCGCAGTGAGGGAGCCGCTGTAGCTCACCCTGGCTTCGCCGAGCGTCTGTTCATCTCGCCTGGCAGAGAGAGCAGTAAGATCCAACATCAAGTACATACAACCATCACATCACATCTCATCCATTCTTACAGTCTTCTCTTCTGGACGACAGGTGCCAAATGGTTTGAACAGCGACTTCAGAAGAACACACCTCTGTTGTTGTACTTGTTCCAGGGAGAGGGAGGCATGTAGTAGAACTTGATGTTCAACATCAGTTGCAGTTGCTATAACATAAGTCGAAGCGGTAATTTGACTCTGCAAGACATGTTAGCTGTTAGCTGCGTGCAACCTATTGCTACCTATTGCAAAGAGTGCAACCTATTGCAAAACACAATCTCCTTCTTGGAGAACCGCGTAGTGCCAGCCTTCTCGAACAAAACAGACCTACTGCTCAAACTGACTTACTTCTCCATGTACCAAATGGAGATCCCTGTTGGTCGTTGCATGATGGACATGAGCTCTAGATTGAAGTGCACATGTGGCTATGCCGCAGTGGCTTTTGCAAGTTGGCATTGAGATGACACACAGCGAAAACGCAGCTTCGGCTTCGACCACAACAAACATCTTCCCTGTTGATCTGCTTGCCAATTGAAACAGAATATAGCACCCCAACTAGCCACAGGCGCAACTTTTCGCCGGCACTTGCGATCAGCTGCATCTCGGTGTCCTGAAGCTTCAGCTTCTTCCTCAAATGCAGGGAATCTGCATGGAACCAACGTCAGCGGCATTCTTCAAGAACCAGTGCTTCTCGAAGTATACGGTAAATGCTCAGCATCTTCAGGCGGGCAGGGTGGCTGAAATGAGCACGACAAAGGGATACAAAGCGCAAACAATTGTGCAAAGCTGGTGGTAAGTGCAGGCCATCTGCATCGATTGCTTGGGAAGTCGACAATGGAGCAAACCTCAGGGCTTCATATCGAAGCCAAGGTGCTGCACTTCTTCTCGGAGGTCCCTAACTGTGCGATCAGGTTGAGGGTCACCTTATTCCGAACGACATGACACGACATGGAGTTGGTTGGTTGCTCAATCGAGTGATGCTGAAACCGTGGGCAGGCCTTCAGTGCTTGTGATGTTGTCAACTGTAAGTTATCAATTTCAATCTTTGGCAAGCAAGTGATGCCATGTTCTGCTATATGAGACAGAACAAGAAGGAATCTTGACCCAAGATCACTGCTTCTCCAAACTCCACCACCAAGGGTGCCAGCTCGGTACTAACCAATCTGAAAGTTTCCTGCTTGCCAAGCTGCAGGGCACGGCATCCCCACTCAAAAGCAGCACGCGGACCTGAGAATTCTTCTTTGGACATCGTTGGACATCTACCGTTGGTGGCCGAATGAAGATATGCTTCGACTGCCGCCAAAGACCTGCCCAGCTGCATGAAACAAATCCTAGGAATGGAGAGGTGATTCGCATCCGGGTTGAACATTCTATGCGCCTATAAGCTTGTAGTTCACACCGAAGGTGTTTTGTGAAGAACGGACAAATACAGCGAAACCGATCCGTGAACATTGGTTGTCAACTGCCTTCCGTCGCAGTTTCTGCAACTTTCGAAACGTCACCCATGTTCAAAACACATACTGTGGAACATGAAGACCAATCTCGGAGCGCCAAGGCACGGGACGCAGCACACCCATCACCTTCTCCTTGCCCTTCTCCTTGGCCAGGTCAAATGGGGTCTTGCCTCAGGCCACGCGAAAGCATTGGTCTTTCTGAGGCCGCAAAAGCCGACTTTCAAGTCAATTTAGAACGGTCACTTAGAGAGGTGAAGTTGGATGAAGTCAGGGCATTGGCAGTTCTGGGTTCAGCTTGACGACGGCCAGCAGCGCAAAGCCTTAAAGCATCTTAACACAACACATGTCCGTGTGGGACAGTCTTCAATTTAGCGGTGCAAGGGGTGGTGGGGGCTCATTCTGGAGGCAGACTGAGGACGGTCTGAGACTTACGGCCTTTGGATGTTCGTTTTAATAAAACTTTCTAAATGATATTCTGCCAATCACCTAATCTGCTATGTGTGCCTTTTGTGGTTTGAGTTTAAGTTCAAGTTCTCTGCCGAGTGTCTCCCCCAAAATCATGTCTCAAATCCCCCTCAGGTCGAACACTTGCAGGATTCAGCTGCGGTCCTGAACCTGTTGAGAGTTTTTTTGCTGCCTACGTCCTTGAGTGCTTCATTCATTCCTGTTCTGCAAATCATCCTATCTGCAGCGGCGGTGTAAGGGGTGCTCTTTCTGAGGAAGAATTGAACCAAAATGAACCCAAAAACCTATGGTGCCTATGGTCTTTCAGCTGATAGGTCTGAATGTTTCTCGTACTGTCCTTCGGCTCTGTCCTTCGGCTTATCTAATTTTGTTCTTTTACTATTCAGACTTCTTGAAGACTCTCGTGGCCAGTCCTCACAGCTTCACCTCTTCCACCGCACTCTGCCAGTCGACGCCTTGATGGTTTGAGTTTCATGCTGAAAGTATTATTCTCCCTGTCTGCGAATGCTCAAAGCATCCTTCTCCCTAAACAGATCCCCCAAAACACTTCATCTCTTGAATCCCGTTGATCCATGTTTGCTTTTCGGGGCAGGTCAAAGCGGACGACCTGTCCCCACATCTCATGGTTTCAGGTTGATGAAAAGCGGTCAAAGACACAACGCCTCCGGTATTGCGCATAATCAAGATTTTGGATGCCACAGAGATCCAAGTATACTAGCAGTGCCAGTATACTTTGAAAATTCGTGAGACCAGAGTACTATACCAGTCAGTTCTTTTCTCTCATTCGGTTCAAAAATCATGGAGACTTGTTCTTTCTGGTGACGATATAAATGACCCAGCTTGCACCATGAAATGTTTCACCCGACCCTCGTGACTTGGAGTGCGTCCCTTTACCTTTCGCATTCAAAACAGACAGGGATGCGCTGCATTGATTCTCATGATTCTGGTTGTCGTGGGCTGCCATTGGACGGCCTGGAAGTTTATCTTCTTCGTGCCATTTTCATGCTATTGCGCCCAATCTTTACGCCAGTGCCAATGCTGAAAGCATCCTTCTCCCTAATCAGATTCCCCAAAACACTTCATCTCTTGAATCCCGTTGATCCATGTGGCTTTTCGGGGCAGGACAAAGCGGACGACCTGTCCCCACATCTCATGGTTTCAGGTTGATGAAAAGCGGATAAAAGCGGTCGAAGACACAAAGCCTCTGCTACGCACCATCTGGAGTTTGGATGCCACAAGAATCCAAGTATACTCCCAGTGCCAGTATACTTTGAAAATTTGTGAGACCAGAGTACTATACCAGTCAGTTCTTTTCTCTCATTCAGTTCGAATATCATGGAGACTTGTTCTTTCTGCTGACGATATAAACGACCCAGCTTGCACCATGAAACGCTTCATCCGACCCTCGTGACTCGGAGTGAGTCCCTTTGGATCCGGTGGACGCAGTCTCCGCACCCTTCGGTCCGCGTCCCGAGCTCCAGGGCTCCCCGGCCGCTCCTATCCTCTGCCTCCACCGTGGCTTTCGCGGCCAAGAGCCGCTCGAGAACCTCCACGCGGCCATTTTTGGCCGCATAGTGGAGAGGTCTTCGGCCTCGGGACGCGCGCGGAGAGAGGCATTTGAGTGGACAAAAAGAGGTCGAGAACTGCCGGGTCTTCGTCCCATCTTTTGTTGGAGAATCCTGGGTGAAAATACCAGTGAAGACCACTGTGAAGACCCTATGCTTCGGTACAAACAAAGATGAACAGCGCGCTAGCACAGCTAATGCTGTTGCTCCGGGGCCCGGG